AAAGACGGTTGATTGGGGATTTATTAGCAACTACAAAGGTGAAATACTAGCTAAGTGCCTCTTTTTATAATATTCTTATTATATCTCAAATTTTTCTTCTTCTCTTATTCTTTTTTTATTTCTTTATAGTTCCAAGAGAGGATGTTAATATTATGAAGTTAAGCGAGATAGTATGATTTATAGGGCATTCACACATTTATTAAAAATACATAAAATTAAAATATAATATGAACAATCTTCCATGTGTTAGGCCCAAGATATAGTGTAGACGGCATTGAGTGAGTAATTTTCATCTTTTGCTCTTATTATTCAATCTTATTTCACTTTCTTAACTTGTATTAGATGATTTACATAGATTAGGTCCAAATTGCTAAGAAAAAGACATTGCTTCTCATGTAGTAATTAACAACTTCTTATTTTATTATTCTTCTTCCGTTTTCACTTCTTTTTTTTTAATCCAAATCCACTTTGATGGAGGAGGGAGGCCAATTGAATTAATTTATTATTTATAGGTTAGAATTTGCTCTAAGAAGGGAGGATATGGTTATTTTTATTTTCAACTTTTTAACTTCTAATTATTTTTCTATAGTACTCCAAATTGACATTATTTGAGGAAGAAGGATGAGTTCCAATATTTTAATTTATAATATTAATAAATGGATATTAGAGTTGAGAGGATTTGATATCGGATTTTATATTATGATTTTATTATTTTTAAGAATCTTATTCTTCGAATTTCAATTGACCATGTGCCCTTGGAAAAGACACTACCTTCACTTGTAAGAGACTCAAGGGTCCATTCTATTTGCATGGCAAATAGCCCACAGATGGTGCACCACATGTTAGCTCTCAATTATACTCTAAAATTTAAATTTTTATTATTTTCCTATTTTATAATAATTAAACATGTTAGATTAGGATTTATATAAGTAGAATTCAATTTTATAGAATTTTTAGGATTACAATCCCTCATGATATAAATCATAGCCTAATTTTTTGAATTAGATTAATTAGGACTAAAGTGACAAGAGTTAGAAAATTAGAATAGCAACTTAGTTAGTTTAATAATTTAAAGGTTGTTGGTCATTACTATAAGGGTTGACTAAAAGCCAATGAGTTCGTCTATAATAATTCACATGATTTAGGGGTTGGAATTATAATTCTCTAAAAGATTTAGGAAAGTTAGCAATGGTAATTTTGGATTTTTCCTCCAAATTCGGCAAATTTAAGCGGCATGGTGGTTCTTCTACTTAATGGGAGTCTCTTTAATGCAATGGTGGCACCGGATTTACTTCGTGGAGTGAAGAAAACAAGATCAGCAACCTCTCCTTCTAAATACAAGAGAAGCAATGAAATTCTCATTTTGAAGAATTTCACAAAAAAATTGCCAAGATCCTTATAAGTAAAAACTTCCATGGAAATTATAATTGAGCATGGATTGGGGCATAAGAGTAGTCGATCTTAGCTTAAAAAGGTGTTTTGAACACAATAGTGAAGTTAGATTTGCAAAAAAAATGCCTTCTTAACTACTTACAAGGGCTATCAGCCTTAGTAACGAGATTTGGTCTTGGATGAATGAAGGCCATAGATCTAGATTAGGAATCTGAAAAATCAAGGGTGGAGATGTAGCCACCCTTCTACGAGCCTCCACTCAATTGTATAAGAGAGGCTTGGTTTTCCAAGCCCTCTCTCTCTTCTCTTTTGGTGAAGGATGAAGCCATGCTAAAATTTGGCCAAAAATCCTAATTTTAATTTCATTTAGATTTTAAATCTCATTATGAATTTTATGGGTGGATGTGGATGGATTTCGAGTTGCGAATGATAGTCATTGGGTCTTAAAACACGTTTCATTGTGGTGAATAGCTCCTTTGGCCTCTCAATTACTCCAAGGATTTCAAGAGCCTCAGATTTCCCTCCATCAGTCATTCAATTATTTTAGTTCTAATGTGATTTTTTTTGTGGTTTTAGCTTTTGTTGTTAGCTTTCTGACAAAGAAGTCTCGCTCCATTCAGAGTTGAATTAAATTTTTGGTGAAATTTTGAGTGTGAGGGGGTTGACAACCTTCGCAGTTTGGATTAATCGAGTTTAGGAAGACATTTATCAGTGCTTGATTGCTGGATTCATTTGAAATTTCGGAAGCATCAAGATTTATAAGCTAAGCTTTGAAGGGCATAAGTTTCGCTGGATTTGAAGATAATTTGAATTTTTAGCAAATTTCTAAGTGAAGGGGGTTGGTCGCCGCGGTAGTTTGGATCACTCAACTTCAAAGGAGCAATTTTCACGACTGGATCTATAGATTGCAATGAGATTTGTTGCAGCAAGGGTGTTGTATTATAACTTATTCTATTTTTATTTTTATTTACTTATTTTAATACTCTTACTTTTCTATTGGTCAAAGGCTTTCAATCCTAATTCTTTTATTAACATGCAATGCCTATCCTTTACTAATGTCTTTGTCAACAAATCAACAAGTATGTCTTTTGTTGCATAATACTTTATATTAATCACTCTCATTTCAATCTTCTCACTTATGAAGTAATGTTAAATGACAATGTACTTGGTCTTTGATGATGCTTTGGATTCTTTGTAAGCGCAAAACATCCTTGATTGTCACATTCTATTGTTGTTTCTATTTGTACTACTCCAATGCCCTCCAAAAGTTGTCTAAGCCATATTATCTCCATTGTATCATAATTTACTACTATGTATTCTACCTCCATTATTGATCTTGCAATTGTTGCTTGTTTCTTACAATTTCACAAAACTGCTTTCATTCCAAGAAAGAAAACATACCTCGTTATTGACCTTCTATCATTTGCAACTCTAATCCAATCCGCATTACAATAACTATGCAAAGTAATGTTATTACTTTCAAGATATAATTTAAAATATAAAGAACCTTTTAAGTATTTCATAATCTTTTTAATGGTTGCCAAAGGGATTGCTCTAGCCTTTGATATGTATTGGCTCATAATACTCACTACATATGCAAGATCCACCCTTGTGCCAACCATTGCATACATAAGTGAGTCTACTGCTATCTAATATGGAATATCTAGCATTTGACCTTCAACTTTAGCAAATTCTTCATCTATGAGCTTCATCAACATCAAATTGGCCTCCAAAGGTTTATATGTAGGCTTACATTTCTTCATGTTAAATCGTTTCAACACATCTTCAATGTACTTGCTTTGGATTATTATTATCATCTTTTTAGCATAATCTTTCACAAATTCCATTCCTAAACAATAGTGAAGCTCTTTCAAATCAATCATCTTATACTTCTTTTTTAACTTTATTTTCAACAAATCTATTATCTTTAAGATATTGGTTAAGATGATTAAATCATCAACATAAAAGTTAAAAATTAATATAAATTCATTAGATTGTACTGCTTCAATATTACAACCATATGATCCCAATCTTTCATGTATACTTGACATTGATGCTTCCGACTTTGCTATTGGCACAGTTCTTCAATAAGACTTTGGTATGAGCCTTTAACATGTGGCATATGAATTGTGCAAGGTCAAAAAGATAGAAAACAATTTATTTAGAGGTTTAACTATTTTTATTATAGTATTTATATTATGTAAGATTTATATATTTAGTATAAAGCTTAAGAAAAGGTTGGAGTCTAAAGATGAAAGTCTAAACTATAAGGAGGCTTATTGGAAAGGATGAAAGCAAAGTATGGTTAAATGAAGGCAAAGAAAAAAGATTTTCATCCCTATTAGTTGAATGTCATGGCCAATGGACTTTAAGGAGGCTACTCAAGTCCTTATTAGGGATAATGATTTCTCTTCCAAGGTCATTTGAACTTTGGAGGTTAGGATCAGCAAGTTTAGGTTTTTGGATATGGATTGGATGCAAATTTTGTATGATTTGGAGTTTTTATGAAGGAGTTATAGGTGTTGAAAACTAAAGTGTCAATTTTGTACCTATTGTCATTCTTTGAAGCAAAACATATGCTTACAAAGAACAATGAAGGGCAGCGATTAGGATTAGAGAGAGCACTTTCTAAGCTATACTGTTCATATACTGTTTGATAAATTCTAAGTCTAGATGAAGGAATTATAAGACATTGAAGATATCTTATGTAATTCAAAGAAAGTAAGTTATTTTGTTGTTAGTAATGATTGGAGTTGTATCATGAGTTTCCTAATCCCCCGCTTTTCCATCATGGAACCCCCCCCCTCCCCCCACCTCCGATGGTACCCCTCTCGTAGTCCATGGAGCTCGTGTTGTCCGCAACTCCGATGATCTACACGGAGCTTACTCCGTGTACACTACTTCGAACCTTGACTGCTCGCGACAGCATCGTGTTCACCGCCGACGGGGTTTTCAAAGTGGATGTCCAACTTTGCCCTCTTTGAGAAGAGCTCTAAATCCTACTTCTGATCTCTTTATTTGCTACACCATTTAAAGCTTCATTACGAGTATTGCGGGTTGTGTTAAAAAATTGCTGAAATTGCTAACATTTTTGCCTAGAATGGTATGGCATTGCTAGAAGATGCCAGGTGGTTGTACCAAGTGTGTTCACACTTTGAATCTTAACAGGTAATACTGTAACCTTGTCCATAGGGAAACAGAAAATGTGTACTCTTCTCATATATATATGTAGATACATACAAACATGTATGTATGTATGTATGTATGTATGTGTGTGTGTGTGAATTGTATGACAAACAAATTAAACATGTTTTCTTTATATGTTTTTTAAAATGACAATTTGCTAAAAAGCCATTTCGTTGTTAAGGATTTAGAGTGTGGAGCTTGATGATATTTGTTTTCAAATTGATTTGATGTGATATAGAATGGACTCTTGAAATAGTTATATAAAGAGAAACATTTTAAGTATATCTGGATTTTTACTCAAGCAATACCATTTTTAAACTGTTTTCCTTTTCAAAGTAGCTTATGTAGTAAGATTTGTTCACTTTAGAAAACATAAAATTAGGCGATAACAATGTAAATGCACATAGTCAAAAGAATCGAAATTGAACAAGAAAAATTGTATTAAATTACAAGTATCTGTAGATGAATCCCATTTAATTCGAATTATATAATGATTTGAGTATCAATTACTAGAATTTTAAGATACATAAAATATTCAAAATAAAATCATCAATAAAAATGCCCACAACAAAATAAACTAATGAATGAATAAAAAATCCTACCCTAAAATTATCAAAGGTGAACACAAATACTATAAAATGAAAAAAAAATATATCTATTTACATGTCACCCAGAGCGCTGTGTTTGAGGCGACACCCGCCCCTGAGCCCAGGCACGAGCGGGCGCCGCCTGAAATACAGCTCCCCGAAGACGCTGTGCAAAACTGATCTGCTTCGCAAAACTGTGAGAAGGCACTGGAACGTGCTCCGCGCCTACTACCGCTGTACACTCGTGTCTATCTCCTCCACCACCTTCGGCCTTTTGTAGCGTTTCAGCCACAGCGACGAACATACTACCGACACCGATGACGCCGCCATGGCTGCACCCGCCACCCACGGAGGCAACCGGAACCCCGTGCTTGGGAACAGCGCCCCCGCAGCTATGGGGATGCCCAGCACATTGTACCCCAACGCCCACACGTAGTTCAGCCAGATCCTGAAGAACGACTTCCGTGACAAGTCTATCCCTGTGATCACGTCCTCCAGGTTGCTCTTCATCAGCACGATGTCCGCCGCCTCGATCGCGATGTCCGTCCCCGCTCCTATCGCCATCCCCACGTCCGCTGCGACCAACGCTGGCGAATCGTTGATGCCGTCCCCCACCATGGCCACCGACGTCCCTGCCGCCTGCATCCCACAAACCTCAGCGTCAGCATGCTTGTTCACCAAGCGTCCTCATCACTCGCCTCTGCTTCCCCCATTACGCAATCCAATCCCACCCCGGCGCTCGCGTTCCCTCCCCAGGTCAAACTCCCCCCGCAGCCCCCACGCATGCTCGTGCACCAGGCAAACCACGAACCTGCATTTCTTCCACGATCCTGGCCTTGTCTTCTGGCAACGACTCTGCGTGCACGCATGGCCTCTCGATTCCCAACTCCCTCGCAATCGCCACGGCTGTGCCCCAGTTGTCCCCCGTGACCATCATGCTGCGCACGCCCATTGACTTGAGGATGCTGATTACTCTGGCTGCTTCCGGCTTCACTGGATCCGCGATGGACACCACCCCCACCAACTCCCTCTCGATGGCAACCATCACTCCCGTCCTGGCCAAAGTCTCCACATCGCGCAAGTGCTCCTCCGCTTCTTCCGATA